CAAAATTGAAGTATAATATGCTAAAATTGTATTGAAAAAAACATTAAAATTACATAAAAAATAATATAATTTATTTTCAAGTTCCTTAATGAAGATCATATTTTTGGCTTTTGCTATAATTTAGTAATTTACTATTTAGTTTAAGTGTAATATAATATTTAATATATCAAATTGTATAGATAAATATAAAAATTTTCATATTATAAATTATTAATCATTAATTGAAAGGTAATTAGGAGAAGTAATTTTATATTAGGAATTCATTCTTGATGGTTTTTCAATTTTACTAGACTAGTAAATATATTCGAAATTACTATAGATACTTATAACTTGAACTTTGATTAGGAACATTAAATAAAAACAGAAGTTTTTTCGTATAATAATAGGTTATATGTATACCTGTAAACACTAAACAGTCATTTTTAACAGGTGTAAGTCATAAAATAAGAAAGAGGTCAAGAGGTGTACCTACCTAATTATAATATTACATTTTTATAGCATTATTATTAAACAAATTATATTGGTACTATAATTGTATTTATTATTGACTATTGTATTTCATTTTATTATTTTAGACTTGTATTAAATTAAATTTTATTATATTTTAATATGTGATTTAAGTAAGTAATTAACATTTTTTATGATATCATATGATTTTTTATGTAACTTTAATGTAGTTTTCAATACAATTTTAACATATTTAAACTTTAATTTTGATATATTTTCATTCATTTTTATCGGGACTTTATATCCTATTGTGGGACTTTTTTTTCCACGATTCATATTTACCATCGCATTTGCAAATGACGAGACCATCGTCATCTAAAACGATTTCACCTTTTCCTGTTCGACATATTCTACCGTTAAGTATTTTCATGATTAATGGAACCTTGTATAGTTGTATTACAAAAAAAAAGGAACTACTTAAGACATTAAATTGAAAATAGAAATAGAACTAAAACAGTCTACAGAATTACAGAAGCAACTATTCGCTCATGGGCTCCTGAGCCAAAATTTGAGTATTGAGTATTGACATATATTCGCTGATAAGAATAAGAAATGATAACGATCACCTACACCTGCTCTTGGGTCAGTGTGAAAAAAGTGTACACTAATGTAATACTTTTTTAAAACAAACAGAGTGTAGGACTACACTATTTCAAAAAAAACGCTTTGGTGTACACTTTTTGTGAAAACGAACAAACCTAATGTATTAAAATAATACTTACATTATAGCATAGAACTGATTATAGTTCAATGCAGCCGTCTACCATATAGCGCTTACTAGCGGACGAAATCGGAATCCTTAAGCGCATTTCCTTAATGGTAGAATTTCAAGCCTAACGTCCTGTTTGGCCGTGTTTAAAAATAATTTTGTTGTTTTGTTTTGCGTATACGAGTTTTACAAGTGTTGAAGTTACAACGCAGTAACGCGTTATTGACTATCGTTCACACCACAAGCCGCATTCGTTGGTTGGTTATTTCTAAAACAGTATATTCGAGTAAACCATACGTTTATTATATTAAATATATCGTCAAAACCACATGGGTTATTTTATTGTCTACGTTATTGTAGTATCGCCTCTAAGTACTGAGTATCTTTCAAGTTTTGTTTTGTGTCCGTCGTCTAATGTGTATTCTACTGAATAAGTTATAAGTATATAATATAAGTTTTACATTCTTTAGCAAATTGTGTCTGTATGTACAAGCAATGAAGTAACGAAGCTGCATTCGTATTGTGTATTTTTTCATCTTTGACTGTCGCACTACACTAATTACCTAAGTACAAAGGTAAGTATTTGTATTTTGTATACCTATCTATTATTTATTTTATAAATTATGATCAATGATATTAGTAATACATTAATTACTATTGAATATTGATAGTTAGCAGTATTAATTTTTCTTGTGTGTGGTAATATACTTGTACTCACGAATAACTGGGCTTCATGACTATGGCACAGTTCAGTAAAAGCGATATTAGTAAGTCTATCAAGCGCCGAAGATTTTTATTAGATAAAGAAACTGTAGATTTTTTTTCGGATAGGAATACAAATTCTCAATTTCAATTACAACCTGGCACATCATCTCAAGATATTAATGCTGGTGTGGAACACCATTACAGTTTTCATATTTTTATAATTATAATATTACGAATAGTATTATATACATATATCATATCATCGTGTCATCTTTTATCCATTCTGTAATATCACGGAGTAAAGCTATATATATGTATAACTATTTTGTATAGTAAACAAAATTTATAATAATCATTCGGCCTGCTTGACATTCGTCAGCCGAACGAAGTTAGTCTCGTCTCACCACTTGCTCCGTGTATTGTTGCTGCCAAGTCATCGGTAAAGTAAAATATTTTAAATTAAATTTTAAAATATACGTTAAATCATACTCGGTATAACTACTTGTCTTGTCGAATGTCCAAATCCTCTCACATTCCTCCGTTTGGTACATGATCTTACACTACGGATACACAATTACACACCGTATACCAGTAGTGATAGACAATAATTTAATTGTTACCACGTAACATTTATGGTGGATGCGCCGGGCATAGATCTATCACTACGGATACACAATTACACACCGTATACTAGTAGTGATACATTTATGGTGGAGGCGCCGAACTTCTAATATTTTTTTTTTTAGAAAACGTAATTTGAAATAAACAAATTTCGTTGTAAGGACAAATAGTTATACTGGTATATTTTATTTATATTGACTAATCTAAATTTATTTATGTTATATATATGTCTCAGACATAGGCGCAAATTGGGGGGGGGGCGTAGCCCCCCAAAAATCTACAAATTTAAAATGCTATATTATAAATGTGTACTTTTTTTTATCTATTTGAATAATATTGTATATTATGAGACTGTCATGTTAATTATAAAATAAAAATTATCACTGATATTGTAGAAATAAATGTATAATTTTGATCCTAGATTATTAGGAATTATTATTACATTGTCTTATACTCTTATTATTGCTATCGCGTCATGATCGTGATAGTATTTTATACTAAATGTATATTTAGGTACCTACTGCATAATAAATAATAATATAAGTAGTAATAGGCGTAAGCCCACATAATATTTGACGTGACGTGTTTATAGTAATATAGTTAATACTATATTAGATTAATATAAAAGGTTATTTTTATTGTTTTAAATTCGGCGAACTAGGTCTTTCCCTGCGACCATTTACTGCGCTTATCTGATTTCTGAATGCATTTATATTTTGGTTACATATTATTTTGATCGCTATCCGCGCTTGTCGTTTTCATTACACCAGTTAACAATCCACGTTTACGTTAGTTTATCGTTTATTCTACATGATCAGTGCATTAAAACTTATTTAAACGTTTTTAAAAACTTAACAATGGAAAGTAAAAAGTTATTCAACATTTTCAATAACAAAAATAAATCCACAACTACTTCTACAAGTTCTACAGTTTCTACAAAAATAGATGTTGATCAAAATATATCGGTTTCTATCACTACTGCTACCAACACCAATATTGTCAACAGCGATGATGAATATATTACCAATAATACCACAAATGGATATTTAGATGTTGGAGATTTAAATTTCGGACCTATGGGGCCAATTTTAAAAGTAAGTACAGTTTTCAAATTCCCTTTTCTTATTGTAGGTATTGGTCATAATTTATAATATTTATGCAATCTTTAATTTTAAGTTGTAATTAATAATTGTGTAATTAGTTAATTACTTCAATGTTTCTAGGTATTTCCAAAAACTAAATTTGGACAACAAAACAGATCATTTTCGAGTACCTACTATAAAAAATTTCCATGGATTAAGTATATCATTAAAAATGATGCCATTTTTTCTTACGCTTGTCGCTTATTTTCAATTGACTCTGGCCACGTTGAACAAACATTTATTAGTATTGGATTTAATAATTGGAAAAAAGTAAGTTTTTAATAATAAGTTTTAAATTTTAGAATTCTATAAGTATTATCATCTAATGAGGTACATAGGCACCTATAATATACTATGTACATATTATATTTTATAATGCAATCTGGGTATACAATGAGTTTTTATTTTATTGTTTTAGTTAAGTGGTTACAGAGATTCAAAGTTGAATCGTACAAAACTTGAATTGCATAATAGTTGTATACATCATTTAACTGCTATGTCTAGGGATTTGTTCATAACCAAATTGTTTCTGCAAGTATGCAACAAATAAAAGAAAACAGAACCTACATGATGCAGTTTATTGAAATAACATTATTTTTAAGTAAACAAGGAATTCCCTTTAGAGGTCATAGAGAAAATGAGCTTTCTATAAACAGAGGTTTGTACTTCTAAATATATTTAAATATTCTTATTTTAAAATTATAAAACACATTTTAGGAAATTTTAAAGAAAATTGCAATATGGTTGCTAAGTTTAATGAAATATTTGCAAATCATTTTTATTCCAAAACCAATTATACAAGTTGGTCTGTGCGGAACACTATTATTGATATATGTGCTAAGAAAATGAATGATTTTATCTGCAATGAAATTAAAGAATGTGGTGTATTTAGTGTTATGGTGGATGAAGCTATACCCGGGCCACTCTAAGAGCGCTACTCATTCGCGCATCCAAATGACCGAGCTCCGCGGTTCAGAACCCAAATTTCCTCCACTCCATCACCTAATTGCCGCCGTAAATACCCCCACTCAGTACGCGGCGACCGGCGGCTAATTCCTCGGCCGCCGCCGCCGTGTAGCAACCGGTGGTTGTATACACCGGCTCAAGTAACACCATGAAAATAATAACACCTGACGTCAGGCGTATCTATAGCGTAAACAACAACAATTCAAAATATGATATGCATAAATTATCAATATTTTATTTATGCAATTATTTTTGTATTTTAATAAAAATGAGTAATTGTACATCACATAATACACATTTATTAAAAAAAAAACATTAGAATACCAAAAAAAAAATTTAAATACAATAAATTAATCGGAGTCTAAATCTGAAGAACTTGACGTGTCACCTGTTCCTATTGTAAGAATATGACGTCCATCGTCGGGTTCTTCGTCCAATAATTCGTCAGTTAAATGTTCAATGTTCCAAAACTTGTCTTCCTCTTTTACGACATGTCCAACAAAATTACTCCACATTTCTGGTGTTACATGTTCCACCCCTTTTTTCAATAAATCAAGTACGTTCTTTAATTTGAAAGTATTGTTGTGCGTCCGGACGTAATTTTTTACTGAGGACCACGCGAGCTCAATTGGATTTAGCTCGCAGTGGTATGGCGGTAATCGCAATAAGATTTTTTGGTTGTCTCTTGCGTATTCATCAATGAAGTATTTGTCGTATTGTTTTTTCAGTTTTCGCACTTTTTTCATTAAATCGATTTTGACTATTGGATGGGTCACGATTTCACCTTTATTCTCAAGCCAATCTACTATTTTTTGTTTTTTCCAACTCATTGTTGGCATTTGACATTTCTTCACGGAGTGATAGGGAGCATTGTCCATAACGATGACGGCGTTTTCTTGTAATAAAGGTAGAATACGGACAAACCACTCATAAAACGTATCACCATTCATCTCGTCATGGTAGTCTGTAGAATTGGTTTTCGATTTGAAACATAATAGGCCCCCCGGGACAAAACCCTCTGTTGACCCGATGTGTAGAACGATGAGACGTTTACCTTTTCCGGAGGGTTCTTTTTGTCCCGTGGTTAGGCCTTTAAGAAATGCATCACGTGAAGATTTTACTGTCGTATCCATCCACGTTCTGCTGTGTGTTTCGCCTGCATTGACCCACGTCTCATCCAAAAAATATATTGGTCGATTTTGCGATCTGTAATGCCTTATTTTTCGTAAATAATCTCGGCGCCAGTTTATTAAATCTTCCCTTTCCAGAAGCGCACTGTTACGATTTTTTTTTACGTATTCAAATTGTAAATCTTTTAATACCTTCTGAAATGACGTACGTTTAAAATTCGGCAATGTTTCATCCTCGTTAATGGCTGTTAGAATTTTTGGAATTGTTGGCACTTCACGTCTCCTCCAAAAATTGTGTATTAATTGCCGAATTGCATTTTTATCAAATTCGTCAATTTTATCAACTATTGCAGGTGTTTTTCTCTTCTTATTAGGTGACGAAACTGTACCTTGATTTTTATATTCCGACAACGTTGTTTGTACTGTACGTTGTCCGAGACCCGTAGATTTAGAAATTTCGACGATCGTTTGTCTGAAGGTCAACCGGGGGCTGTCTGGATTTTCAAGCTGTCTTTTAACTAAAGCGTTGTACAGATTAACGACCACTTTCCTTTGACCAGAGCCAATATACTAAAGAAACAATTGATATTTTAAAATTAAAATTTTGCATTAGAAAAATAATAATACAAACGCTTACTTTTCCACTTGGATTTTTTATGATAGGCGACTTATCTGTGACGTCCATGTTGTATTTTTTAAAAAAAAACGTAAAAAATGAAAAAATAACGATGGGTTAAGAAACGCAAAAAGTATGTTAACAAACTTAGCGCCTAAAAAAACAAAAATGTTGTGTGTGTATTCAGGAACGTAAAAAAATATCAGAACACTTTAGTACGCGCTGTATACAAACACTGTCACCGTTTCCCGGCCTGCGGTGGCGTAGGTGAGTGGGAGCAGCGACGCCGACGCTTGCGGCGACGGTGTCGGCGGTTCGCGTTAACGTCGGCCAGTGTGTTTTGAAGAGTTTAGTGGTGGGAATGCGCGAGAACGGACTAATTTTGGTTGCCGCCCAGAAGCGCTCTTAGAGTGGCCCGAGTATAGGTAAACATTTAACTAATTACTTAGTCATAGTTTATATACCTGATAAAAAAAATATGTTTATATTTATATACTTTCTAGATCTTTCAATGAAGAGCAGCTTTCTTTTTGCATAAGATATACTAAAAATGTATATGTTGTTGAACGTTTTTTAACTTTCCTAAATGTATCAGAGAAACAAGATGCTGATTCTCAGAGTACTATTATATTTAATTATTTGGATGCAAGTAGCATCGCTCAAATACCAATAGTCGCACAATCATACGATGGAACTAGCGTGATGTCAGGCCGATTTAATGGTGTGCAACAAAAAGTAAAGTTAAGACACCCGTGTGCCATCTATACTCACTGTATGGCACATAGAGTCAATTTAATTGTAATTGACATGTGCAAGTTAGTTAAGGTTAAAAAGAGAACCAAATCGTATGAAGGATTTCCATTTATCATCAACCACAAGCACTGAACAAACTAATGAAAACGAATAACACTGGCGAATAATTTATTTCAAATTAATAGATACTATTGTTACAAACATAAAAAAAAGATTTTCCACTGAAAGCCTGAAAATGGCCTCAGCAGTTGATAATTTTATGAAATTAAATTATGATTACAGCACTTTTTTCATTGATAATTATAAAGTAAGGATAAATTATTAACATGAGATGTATTCAATTTAATATAAAAATAATTTTTTTTCTTATAGGATTTGTTCAATATTGATTTAAATGCTCTGAAAAGTGAAATGATGGTGGTAAAAAATAGTGGAATAAAGAAGTAATAAAAGAAGTGGTACAATCTGAAATTTATCCAAATTTATATACTTTGTTGAAAGTGGCTCTTTCAATTCCCGTTAGTTCAGCCACGTGTGAGCATTCTTTCTCCACGATGAGAAGAATTAAAAATTGGCTACGCACATCGATGGACCAGGAGCGATTTTCTAGTTTGGCAATAATAAACATTGAAAGAGAAGTATCAAATCAGCTTAAAGCTGAGGATATACTAATTGAGTATGCTAAAAGTTAAAACCAATAAAAGGTTGCAATTATAATTTGTTTGTTTATTTTTATTGATATATAGGGATATTAAAATAAATTAATAAAAGTGTACGGGCCGGAATATATAATAATAATATACGAGTCCGGGCACCAACTCTTTTTTTACGCCACTAACACCTAGGTCTATAAGATATATTATGGAGGACTAGCTGGGTGTGTAGTGGTGTAATAGCTCAAACAGCAGTGGTCGGGATTGCCGGGCAAATACTGTCGAGCTATGTAGTGTATGTTGTGGCTTATGTGTATTTGGGTATTAATGTGTGTATGTATGTAGATGTGTGTACAATAAAATAATAATAATAAAATGGTAAAGCGGTTTTTGGTAATAAGTTGCTGTTGCTGTATAATACACAATAATAATGACACAAATATATAAAAAATCACAGCAACACAATAGGTATAAAAATATAATATAAAAATGATAAATCAAAGCCCTTATGGCTAATAGAATATAAATACTGTACGGCCCTTGTGGCACAACAGAATATAATAATAGAGGTAACAAATATAATAATAATAATTATACGGCCCTTATGGCACGACAAATTAATAATAATATAATAATAAAAAAGAAACTCACAGTTTATGGAGCACGGCTGGCCAGCTGCTACCTATGCCTAAATAGTAAAAATTTACATAGAGGACAACAAACAATAATATATAAAATACTCCGGCGATTAGCGCACGGCAAAAAAGAATATAATTACAATAATATAAATATCTGCGGCCTTTATGGCTTACAATTATAAATAATAGCAAAAATGCCTTTGGCGATTAGCACCAAAAAAGAAAAATAAACAATAATAATATATAAAAAAAACACCGGCGATTCGCGCGCGGCAAAAAGGATATAATATAAAAAAAAACAACACTTTAATTATTCGACTTTTTACAATATTATTAAAAGTAATATTTTTTTTGGTGTGCGTTGAAACGGTCGGAACAACGTACGGGCAGCGACAAAATCACGGCGGCCGTGTTAAATAATATTCGCATAAACTGCGCGGCTGCGGGCGATAACGTTTAATCTGCATATTATATAACTCACAAGACACATTCAATACAAAAATAAAACAATACAAATAATGTGATATGTGTGTGTGAGACCAGCTGTTCCTCCCGTCCTCCGTGACTAGTGATAGTTACCTTCTATATTACTTGCTACCTACTATGTTGCGGCGGCAACAAAAAGTATTACTATGTTGTTGTAATTATGTTATTATAAGTCACACCCCCATTTGAAATTTGAAGTAGGTCGACAGTGATAATGAAGAAAAAAATGTAATTGGATTATGAAGTAATATTATAATGTAAGATAATATCAATGGTGATTGCCTTTAATATATTCAGCCCCCCCAAGTCAAAAGTTGAAATTGCGCCTATGGTCTCAGATAATTAACACAAATATCTAGATAATTATAAGAAATTTTTAGTTAGTTAATTAAATAAATTATAAATATATATATATATACATACCAATACAAATATATAAATATTAATACAAATACAATATTACTATAATTACATTATTACAATTAAAATACTATATACAAATATAAATACATCAATGTCAATACAAATATATAAATATTGATACAAATACAATATTACAATTACATTATTACAATATTACAATTAAAATACTATAATATTCATTACAAGATTTACAATAGGTACAGATTGCCAGTCTTCAATAAAAAATTAGAATATTAAAATACTATAAAACACAAAATAATTAGCTATATTATGGTAAATATTATTTCATGGCAGATAAGGAATATTCATACTGTTTAAAAAGAAAAACAAATAACCAAACAATAAAATTAGACAATTTTATATTAACATCATTAGCGCCTTTGTTAGTTAAGGACTACACACAAATTAATATAGAACAATTAGGTGAGATATTAAATACTATAGACCAAAAACAAGTACAAGATTGCTTTACATTTAGTAAAAACGTAAAACCACCAAAAACATTTCAAAATATAATAGAAACTAAATATTGCGATATCATAGTAAAAAAAAAATATACCAAAAATCACTCCTGAACAATTCACACAGTTAGACTGGGAAACTAAATTCGACTTAATAAACAATAAATACAAAAACAAATACTTATTTTTTTATCCATAACAGATATGGCAAAACTCTTTCAGCATAAAAGTAAAAATATAAAAATTAATAACCAACACATAAAAAATCAAATCAAAACACACAAAGGTGACACTGTCACACCGGTGACAAAAGTGCCACAGATAACCGGTTCCCACACACCTACAACAAACGTTGAACCAGCATTAAAAATCAGTGAAAAAATTCTGAACGAAATTACAATTAAAAACCTTAATATAGACATAAATCCCACTTTAAAATTCGAAGAAAAGCTATTGCTACAAAATCTAATAAATAAATATCATGATTGTTTTGCAAAAAATCCAAACGATATAGGAACTATTGACGTAGGAGATATTTCAATACCCACAACTAATGAGGAACCAATAAGCCTCCCACCTTACAGACTATCTATTAAATAACAAACCGAAATACAACGGCAAATAAACATATTAATAGAGGCAAAAATAATCGTACCGTCTAATTCGTCTTATGCTAGTCCCGCGTTTCTGGTTCCCAAGTCGGACGGAACAAAATGATTAGTAGTAGACTATCATGCTCTAAATAAAAGGGTACCTCATCAAAATTTCCCAATACCGCATATACAAACAATATATGACTGCTTAGAAGGAGCGAAGTACTTTAATATAATGGACGTGCAAAATGTTTTTTTTAAATGTACTGTTAGGTAAAACAGATAGACACAAATTAGCCTTTATTACACATGCCGGAGTTTACGAATGGACAAGATTTCCATTTGGCTATAAAAACTCACCTCACACAATCAGGGCCGGCTCAATGTGGTAACAAAATAGGCAGCCGTCTAGAGCGGCACTAGTGTGGGGGCAGCAAATTTCAAATGAACCAAAGTGATTTAATTATTATAATATAATATATAATATAGTATGCTGAATTGTATATGTTCATTGTTCAAAATATACTAAACATCTTTACCGAGAACGCACCAAAGTCGTAATACTGCATGAATATAAATAAAACGGCGATAACTGTGGTTATTGTATTCGACCAGAGACGAATGCACGTTCTTATCGAGTTTAGAATTATTATTTAATTGGAAAATAATGGTCAATGACACGACGGCATTTAGTCCCGGACTTTTAGCCGCCCGCCTAAGGCTGCACCTACATTAGATCCGCATTTCTCCCGATCCGATCCGATCCAACGTTGTCCGATGGTCGGACGACGTCGGAAGAAAAACAAACACCTTTATCTTAATGTTAGTGCCTACAATTGAAACGAAGCTTCCGAATTCTCGATTCCCGACGACTCACGACACTATCCGATTTGATGGCCGATCAATCATGTTTGGTTCCAGTCCGACGTTTCTAATCCGACCCGTAGTTAGTAAAGTACAAAAGTTAAAACTTGCTGTTAAATATTAATCAAATTTTTAAAAAATGACGGGAAAAATTGATAAGGAGTTGTTAATACAGCTTGTGAGAGATGAACCTCGTCTATGGGACCAGAGGGTGAAAGCTTACCACAATCGTGACATAAAATTTGAGTTGTGGGAATCAATTGGAACGCAACTTCAACAAATTTCAGGTAATAATATACTTAACGAAATAACACCAACTAATAAATAACTACTAAATAATAAGTTACTAAATGGTACTATAAGCAACGTATTCATCAAAATATCATGTGTCTCTACGCACGGAAATAGAATCTTATGTCGTCCCCGTAAGTGAACGATGTATGGAAAACCCATATATTATTTAAATACGCTTGTAAATAATTTGTTTGTGTTTGATAATCATAGAGATAGTAGTGAGAAAGTATGTGTTTAATTTTAGTTTTATCTAATTTAATATCAATGGTGTGAGGGTAATAAATTATAATATAAACCAATATTATTCAACATGTTAAAATACGATAAAGTAATGACTGTGACGTAAATTATTAAATGATAATAAATTTAAGAATAGAAAATAAAAACTACTTATTTGAATTGATTAAATATTACAACGAGTACCTACGGACATATCAAATCATCCTAGACAAATATTAATAATTGTAGTTAATCAACTTTTTATATTAATTAAGCATTTAACTATTACACTAATATAAACATAATATTTATGAACTATTATAAAATAAAATCACAACATTTTTTAAATTAAATAACAATATTATCTATTTTTACTGGATGCTTCCGTTTTGCCATGGTACAGCGCCGACTCCATTGAAATAGGACTTGAAGATATCTCTAATGGTCTGAGCTTCTTGTGAAGCTCTATTGTACATTCTTGAAGACCTATTTCCTTGAAGGGGTGTTTCAATCAAAGATTGTTGCAACGTCGTGCAACTGAATTCACCGCCCTCACGGTCAATAACTATATTGTGAAGTAAGCAGATACATTTCACAATTCTCTCTGCTTTGCCAACATTAGTTTCTATACATTTTCCAAGCAAACGCCACTTGGCTGTCATAATACCAAAAGCACATTCCACACATCTCCTAGCCCTCGATAGCCTGTAGTTAAAGATTTTATCTTCATGTGATAGATTGCGTCTTGAGTACGGTTTCATTATATAGGTCTTTAATGGGTATGCATCGTCTGCAAGTATTACGAATGGCATATCTGTAACAATTCCTTCGATATGTGATGATGGTGGTAAATTAATATGACAATTTTCCAAAAATGTAGATAAAGAAGAAGCGGAAAAAGTTCCTCCATCACTTTGTTTCCCATATCCTCCTACATCCACAAAAATAAATCGACATCGGTGATCCGCAACAGCTTGTAGCACTATTGAAAAAAAGTTTTTGTAGTTGTAAAACATAGTTCCACTTTTTTTCGGGCATATAATTCGAATGTGCTTGCCATCAAGACATCCAACGGCATGAGGAAAATTCCACCGCTCCTGAAATCCTGTAGCTATTTCTACTAACATTCTATGGTCGGGAACAGGCAGGTGTTGCTGGTAGAAATTATTCCATATCGCATCCACAACTAATGAAACACATTTACCGACAGTGTAATCATTAATTCGAAACGTTAAACCCAGGGATCGAAATGATAATCCAGTCGCTAAATACCTAATCGATAAACCAAAAAACAATTTTAACTTTTATAACATTTAAAATAACTGAGAAATAAATAAACTTGTTTCTACTATAAATTTACAAATAAATTATTATCAGAAAAAAGGACATATTGTTACAAATGTTTTGCATTTTAGGTGAACAGGCTCGTAAAGCATGGGAAAATCTTAGAGACACGTTTAGAAGGAAACTAAAAACGGATACTGAAACCAAAAGTGGTCAAGGAAGGTCCGAAATTGTGAAATGGCCTTTTTTTAATACCATGATGTTTTTAAAGGACGTGATGATGCCCAGGGAGAGCTCAGGAAATTTGCCTATCACGTATGATGAAAATGAACTATCTCCAAGTAATTTAAGCAACGCCACGCTAGAAGATGTAGATGAGGAAAATACAAATGATGCAGAGACAGATATTAATTATTGTTCTATCAGGGAACCTGAGGCATCTGGATCAGAATTCACTTCATTTGCCAAACCTCAAAGCAAACAACAACCATCAAGTTCTTTAAAAAGAAATAATAAAAATGATAACAACACAATTCTTTCAAAAAAACAAAAACAAAATAGTTATGATTCCCAGGTGCTTGAAATTGAAAGAAGGAAAATTAACCTGATGGAAAAACGTTTTTCTCGACCAACAAATACTCATCAAGATGATCAGGACTACGCATTCTTCATGAGCTTACTGCCTTCTGTTAAGCAACTAAATCAGATTGAGAAAATGAGACTCCGAATGAAAATCATGAACGATGTCACAGATGCATTGGAAGCACATCAGTTCGTGAAGGAAGTAAATTCGTCAAGAATCATACCATCACCCATTGATTCCCCTTTGTCGTCACCATACAGTACTGAAGGTTCCGAGCATTCTCAATCATCTTCAATGTCGTTTCAAGTGAATCAAGCATATCAGACTGAAGTACAACCTACACAACAGGATATCTATAATCTAATGGATCTGTGAGATTTCATTTGTATATGTTATTTTGTTATTTGAAAACAATAAAGATTTTATAAACTTTTATTTTTTATTTTATTTTATTTAAAACATTCAGAATATTTCTAATTTTTTTAAGTACCAAACCAATCCTTCTATTTTCTTCTTGAAAAAATTTAATTGGTTAATTTTATTAAGTAACCTTGTGCTCGCACAGATTCATTGTATTCGAAGGCAATATTTACCATTATTTAAAATGTAATACGTTTAAACTAGTGATATCTAGAGATACTCACGAATCGTTACTAATTTTTTTAATATATTATATCTATATGTATAATGAAAAGGTATTAAAGGTTTATTTACCGTATTGTGATGGTGAGTTTTTCTTCTGGACTGACACATACCCTGAAGTTTGATTGACCAGTTATATCGTTTCTTATTCCTCCAAGAATGTAGTCAAATGTTTCAATACTCATACGATGGTATTCCCTGAACTTAACCGGGTAATTCCGCATAGGTACGCAAGTTGTAAAAAATTCTCCTCTCGATCGATCTAAATTGAATTCATGGACCCATGTCTTTGTACTACGTTTCTTTAGTAGGGCGTTGTTTTCCAGAAAAAACCAGCACAAAAAATCATCATCAGAATCACTCATTTTGGTATCGCGTGTTTACTGCAATAGCTTCTAATACAAACTGCAGTAGAACGGTAGGCAGTATACAGTTAAACGGATTACGTCGGGACCAGTGTAGGCAATCATGTCTGACGTCATCGGATACCGATGGACGGATAACTTCGGATCGGATCGGATCGGGAGAAATGCGGATCTAATGTAGGTGCAGCCTAACACGTAAATAATTTTTGCTGTAGACTGTGGAGTAATAGTGACAATGTGTCAGTGTACCAAGTGTATGAACGTGTACAATTTTTATTAAAATAAATTTTTAGCTGCAACACTTAATTGGTATTAATTTTGTTGAATTATCACGTTAATATTTATTAAATATGTCAGAGCAAAAACGTATACGGTTATCAGGAGCTGCATATCGAAAACAAAAATTAAAACGTGATGAAGAAATTAAAAAAAACTCTAGTTCCTTTGAAAAATATTTGAAAAAAAAATAATGAAGTTTTAAATAATCCAGAAACACATTCTAAAATTATTTTAGAAGAATCAAATACCTTAAAAGTTACTGACAGTTTAAAAGAAGTTGGTAACTCAGAACAAATTTCCGATAGTATTGACATTTTCATTAATGAAATAAACACAACTTTGGAAGAAAATACGAGTATTAAATATAATAAAAATGAAAATAACATATCTGACCCCGGGACATGGCCAACGATTTTTTCAGATTCATTACGACTTCAATTAGTAATAACAGGTCCCACTAAACCAAATAAAAATTTCAAATATCCTAGAGATGCGTTAAATCGACGGTTTCCAATTTCAATTTTAAGCAAAACATTAAAAAATGGTAAAGTTATAGAACGTACGTGGTTAATTTATTCTGTTAAAAATGATGTTGTGTACTGTTTTTGTTGTAAAATATTTAGTAGTGAAAATTATGCACTGACTAAATTTGGCTGTAATGATTGGAAAAACGTACACAATATAGTTAAAGAACATGAAACAAGCAAAATACATTTTAATTCTTTAAAAAAATGGATGGAACAGTCTGCTAGATTAAATAGTAATCAAACCATACATGCTGCCCATCAACGTGTATTAAATAATGAAACTCGGCATTGGCAAAATGTACTTGAGCGTTTAATGGCAATCATTGAATTTCTTGGTAAACAATGTTTACCTTTTCGAGGTACAAACGATGTTCTTTACGAAAACAATAATGGCAATTTTCTCGGACTAGTACAGCTCCTTGCAAAATTTGATAGTGTTTTATCAGAACACGTTCGCAGAATTCAAAATAAGGAGATTCATAATCATTATCTAGGTAAGGGGATTCAAAATGAAATTATACATTTACTTTCTCGAGTAATTAAAAATAAAATACTTGAAAAGTTAAAAAATGCTAAGTATTATTCAATAATTGTAGATTGTACTCCCGATAAAAGTAAAGTAGAAAAAATGTCAATAACTATACGGTTTGTTGATATTAACCGAGATACAAAAAAAGTAGATATTTGTGAACATTTTCTTGGATTTATTCCGGTTGATATTACCACAGGTCAGGAACTTATAAATGCAATATTGTCAGAATTAAAAATAAATACAATTCCAATACAGGATATGCGAGGGCAAGGTTATGATAATGGCTCAAACATGAAAGGTCGTAATTCTGGTGTACAAAAAAAATTTTTAGATATAAATAGTCGTGCTTTTTTTGTACCATGTCATGCTCATACACTAAATTTAGTTGTAAATCATCAACTGGAGCAAGCAAATTTTTTATTCAAATTCAAGCTATATTTGTATTTTTAAGTGGTTCTACTCGTCGATGGGCTGTTTAAAAAAACATATAACACAATTAACTTTGAAGCCATTAAGTGAAACTAGATGGGAGAGTAGAATAGATGCAATTAGACCATTCAGATATCAAACAGGTGAAATATTTGATTCATTATACGAAATAAGCCAGGATATATCTTTTGATCAAATTACCCGATTAGAAGCTGAATCTTTAGCTAAAAAAATTAAAAATTTTAACTTTGTGTGTTGCGTTGTAATTTGGCACTCAATTTTAAATCAAATAAATCTAGCGAGTAAAGTGTTACAGAAAGTAACATTAGATATATCTGGCACAGAAAATATTTTATCTGAAACTATTAATTTTTTAAAAAAAATTCGACGTGAGAGTTTTGACAAATTTTTAAAAGATGCTGAAACCATAGCTCTTGAATTGGATATTGAGGCTTCTTTTACGCAACAAACTTCTATACGCCCACGAAAAAAGAAAACCGTGTTCATTTATAATGAACAACCAGATGAACCCATAATTAATTTAAAAACTAAATTTAAAGTTGAATTGTACTTTTATATATTAGACGTAGCTCTCAATTCTCTCGAAGAAAGATTTGAACAATTACATAACCACTGCGATAACTTGAAATTTTTGTATGATATAAGTAGCCTTTTAAGTATAACGAAAGATAACATTGTGAAAAATTGTATGGATCTTCAATTGCTACTATCAGCAAATTAAAATGTTAGTAAAAATTAATTAATTCAGATATTGATGCCATAGAAATGACAGATGAGTTAGTAGCAATATCCGAGTTATTAAAACCCAACAGTACTCCATTAGAAGTGTTACAGTTTATTGTAAATAATAACAATTTTGTACCAAATGTAGCTGTAGCACTTCGAATTATTTTAACTATGCCTGTGTCGGTAGCATCTGGTGAACGGAGCTTTTCAACAACCTAATTTTGCTGGCGGACTTACGCGAAGAATCCGTCGAACGGAAGTGGACAGATGAGACACCACGTTCGATGGTGATTGTTCGATCGCGGAACTGTTTTTTCGGCCGCCGATCTATATATATTTGTTTTATCATGTGGGGTGGAGATAATTAAGTTATCTACACTTAGGCCGATCGCACACCAAAAGAGCAAAACTGTGTTAGACAATGCTAGTCATTTTCGTGTTAGTCAACTAAAAACAATTTGTTTTTATAAAGTGCACACTAGCTAGACAAAACACCATTAGACAAAACAAAAATCAGTAGTCATCATGTCATCTGATGAAGATGTTGCGATTTGCATGTGGTACACATTACAAAATTTAGAACAGAATCATAAAAAGAAAAAATTATGGATTCATCCGTTAAATAAAAAACGTATCACTCATAATGTAATTTTAACTTTACTATGCGAACTACGTTCAGACGAAAGTAAATTTAAAAATTATACACGTGTAAGTAGTGTCACATTTGATTTTATACTGCAAGAAATAGGAGAAAAAATAAGGAAAGAAGATACACATTTCAGAAAAAGTATTTCTCCTGAGGAAAGGCTTTTGGTTACACTAAGGTAAGAAATACCCAATTGTTTTTTTAATAATTTTTATTTTTTTATAGGTATAAAATGAATCATAATATATTTTTTTAAACAGTTAACAAATTAAACTTAAATTTACAATTTTTTTTGAAGTTAATTCTGCTTTATTATTATTATAACTTATACATTTGAAAAAAAAATCATTTAAACGAATTGTTACTTCCTTGTGAAGACGAAGATAAATCTGAAGCAAAATCACTGTAGTAATTGTTTACATTTTGGTTTTGATTAATTTGTTGATCTGTGTTTTGTCCAGCTAAAAAATTCATATTTTGTTCCATTATTGGTCTGGCTTGATATAAATTATTACTCTGCTCTTCAACTGGTCTAGGATACATATTATTTATATTGTTTTGAAATGAAACTATTTGATTATTGTCTTCTTATTCATCAAGATAACTATTTAAAGACGACATAACTAAGTTTTTGAATTTCCTTTGATTTTTATCATCAAGTTTTTTATAGTCAGGAATAAGGCTTTTAAAGAATAACAATTCTGGAGGTTCTTCAACTGGTGCTGGCTTTCTAGTTCTTGATTTAAAAAATTCTATCATCGGTTCTGCTACCTTATCGCTTGCTGTTTTATATAGATTTTTGTGTAAAGTCAGTTTTGGTTTTTTAAACATTGTGACGCGGCCCCGCGCGAAGGCAGTTTGAATTCAAACGACCTTTGCGCGGAAATCCGCGCCGTGCTTCTCAAACAAACCACCAATCGACGACGACCGACACCAGCGCGCGACACCCGCGCTAGGATCCGTCGGCCGGCCGCCAGGTGAACCGGATCGGTTGGACACTTTTTGCTTTTACGCGCTGACGACTAGACGTCTCCGTTGACCGACCGTCACCCGAATACCGGCACGACCGAGCCACCACGTTCCCGTGCGCGACATTCGTTTACACCAATTCTTGGTTCACTAGACCATTTGTGATTGTTCAATTATTGAAGTTTAACTTAATAAATACGTTTTTCGCACGTCCGTGCTACACCCACAGATCTTGTGTTTTTTTTTTTGTTTTTCCTCACTCGTCGCTACCTCGCACCAGAGTGTCAACCACCTGCAGGACCACCGTCCCACACCCGCGAGGTACGCGTCAACTGGCTCCCCGAACAGGAATCACCGGTAAGTGGAAACTCTCACTTACTTACCACCTACTACCACCATCACATACCCCCCCAGTGCGCGACTCAGAAGAGTCCCCAACGCGACCCGACAAAAACGTGGTTAGCAGGCCCAACGGGAAAACCGGCGTTACATAACGGATTACGTAAACACGCAACGACCGGCCGCGCCGCCCGTTTAATTACGCACCAACCACACCGCGGGCGGCACACCAAAGTCCAAACCCGCGAGACATAGGTTGGTAGGACCGCTGGAGCGCGAGGACACACGAACTGCCGCCGCCGCCACCCGGAGCGACAGCCACCGCTGTCCTTGACCATAATAGCGCGCCGGTTAACGCACACACGCGCAACCGCGACATATATCACGACGACCGGTTTTGTCACCCGGCAGGCACAACAACAACAACAGACCCACTGACCTACATTCGGACGTAAATAAACACCGTCGCAACAATAGCGCTCGCCCCACATTAATCACCGCAACGGAAAACAGCCGGACAACATGCCGGAAAGGTTAATAGACGAGTTGACCGTTCGGGAATTACGGTACGAATGTACACAGCGGGGGCTTAAACAGGGAGGATCGAAGGCTGAACTCCGGGACCGCCTGGAACAGTACTTCGCGGCCAGGAACATCCAGGCCGACACCGTTCGGTTCCCCTCAGCGGACACCGATGAGGGAACCAAGGACGGCTCGGATGACGAAAATCAAACGCCCGTCGGCGCACCCACCGAGACGTCAGTGGTGGAGCCCCCCTCAACCCAAAGTCCCCAAAACACACCCCACACGCTAACACCCCCTACAGGCCTCGACATATCGGACACTATCCAAACCGCGCGCGGCATACTAGAGGGGGCAATGCTAACACAAAAAAATCAACCAAGCCAACCGAGTCTGGAGTCGCGGCTGTCCATGCTCGAGGACTGCATGGCACGCATATGCGACGGCCAACGCCGCATAGCGGAGTCCATGAGACGACTCGAGCTAAGCACGACAAATCCGACGCCGGATCGCCACACAGATTGTACCCTACCTACACACCAGCAATATGGTACGTCATCAGGAACACAAACCGATAACAAACGTAGGACTAAAACCACATTTACGGCGAACACCACGGAACACGGTGATAGTTTCGCCGCGGCATGCGAACAACCGGCCGCGCGCAATACACACACCAGCCGA